AATATTGAACTCGAAATTCTCATGAAGAAAACATGAAACTGAAACGAGCATTAGGTCTATGTTTTGCATCAATTTGTAAAAATCCTATAACTAGGGATTTTTCATTGGGAGTTGGCAACGCAGCCAGCGACACATATTTGGCCTGACGTCTGATCTACGGGGTTCTAGTTGACGCATTCGATCAATATCAAAACTGGGCCACACTGGGCCCCACGTGGTGCGCTGCAACAGAGATTCTGATTAGCGAATCGTCATGCAGCGTTGCCAGACGTTGAGGATTGTATATTTCAAGGAATAGAAGCAGCGATAAAACAATATTCAGAGAGATAATATCTTTAGAATTTTCGAGCTCAGTTCTTGTTTGAAAATTGCCACTTTGCCTTCGAGATTATTTTCTCGGAGAAAATGTTTTGACATTTGATCTTTGTTGGCAGGTAACAAAATGTCACTTTCAATAAAATTACTTTCTTCCCTGGGGAAGAAGTTGTGAACGCTTTTTTGTTGTTGTGCTGGTTACGAAAAATAAGCCAATAGGTATCACCGTCTCCGAGAAAGCACTGCATTTCTCTTTCATCTTCCATTACATGGATCTTGAATTCGTACGCGGTTTCGTAAATTACTAAGCAACCACTAAGTTCACAATTTTCAAATCAAACCAAAGTAATACATTGACAGATATTTGATTATTTCAAAAGGTTTCCATAGCAATGACATCATTGTGAGCTTTATACCAAAAAAACTACCAGTGAAAATAATTTCGAAATTTTATTCAAAATAAGACGATAAAAAATAAATGAAAATATATCAATTTCAAAACACACTTCTTGCGCCATTCGTGTGTTAATTCATTGTGACTATGTGACTGGTGTGACGTATTAGTTACCAACACGCCTATTGTCCTTGAACTGACCAATCACACTGCAAAACTGCAGAATGGCAAGGTATCTGGCATCCTAAAATATCGAATGGAATATGCTGAGTTCAACTTTAACTTATAATAATGATTGTACATACATTAAATGTAAATCATGAACCATCAATTGAAAGAGGTTTCCACGAATTTAATTCCTCACTGAAAAAAATTGTATCAAACACGGAAAATATTAGATTAATACTATAACTAATACTAATAACTCCTTCCAAAGTGACTCAAATACATGGGAAGAGGACTACATCTTCAACTTCATGATATAACAGTCATTTGAGCCACTGTAGACATGTGATCAAGGCTTGAATAGAATTATACCAATATCTATCCAAATCACTATCAATACTGCGATGTTTAAAATTCCCGAATTGCAATTATTCCACAAAACATCCAGCGTGCATTACGTGCGAACGATAGCGAAAATTCCGAAACTAATCGTCAACCCAACAACCATCGAACACGCAAATCGTCTCGACAAGAGCGTTGAGATGCTCAGCAACCCTTGAACCAATAAAAATGGACTTTCACTTCGACTCGGCCAATTCGAGCTTGAGCAGCGACTACAGCTACCAAGCCACTGTTAGCGACACGTCAGTCGATCGCCAGACCTTCCAGACTTCCTTCTCCGAAGAAGAAGAGTATTCGCCGAAATCGAATTCTCATCCACAGCAGAACCACCACAACCACCACCACCATCACCACCACAATTCGATCCACGAGATCATCAGGAATTTGGGTAGGAAGGTGCAACACTGGAGGTCGGACGGGTTCTATCACAGGAACTCCTGCGAAAGTCAGGAGGATCCTTTCAGAGCGCGAAGCAAATCGTTGGATTGTGCGCAGAAAAAGCCTGTGAGAGACTGCGAAGCCACCTACAGGATATACAACAAGATTCTTCTCGAAGGTAACGAGATCAAAAGGAAATCGACTGAACGAAATAAAAAAATGCGGGGTAGTCTTTGGGGACTGCATATAGAAGTGAAAACTAACTTGTGGATTGTATCGCCGAGCTATTAGATTATTATTTTTCTACTCTTTAGTTCGTTTGGATCCCCTAATTTTGACGAATGATTCATAATCTCCGACTCCGGAAACCCCAGACAAGCTTTGAAAAGAATCACATCATAATTACAAAACTCGTCAGCCATATCGAATCTGCAATCTAGAACTTCCCGATTTGAACGATGCTATCATAATCTCCGACACAGAAAACCCCCAGATATTAATTTTGAATAGAATCGGATCAGAATTACATAATACTGCATGGGAAATACCCTTTAGATTTTTTGCTATTCAGTGACTTCGGTAACGTGACGATGACGCGCAATCCATTGTTTTTCTTAAAAGTTTTCACTTCAAATAATCATAGTAACTGCCTAGAGATTTCAGTATAGGATTCATCTTATCTGGATTGTATTGTATTGTATGCATAAGGGGTGGATACAGTGCGACCTAGAAGATCCATTGTGTCTCACTCTTTTTGATATGTCCGATGAGGTTGTTCTCCTTAGTTATAGCAATTTTTCTATTACTATTTCACGCAGAAATGTCAGGATATGAAGTGGTTCCAGATAGGGTAGCTCCTCCTCCTCCTTCTCTATTATGTGTGCTCCTAGGTTTCTTGATAAAGGCTTCCTCCTCTTTCCCATATAACCTGCTCTCTTCTTTCTTCCTCAGTACCTATACGAAGTTTGTTTTTACTCAGGCTATGACATATGGGTTGGATCTTCTGTGGTTATATGTACCCAGTAGTATTGGTACCTATCTTAGCCTGTCTGAGACCTTGAAAATTTTTCCAGATGTCTGATTTCTGTTCAGCTTCTTTTCTGATTTATTGTGATACAGAAGGTACTGCTTCTGATCCCGCAAAAGGGTTCTGACCCTACGAAGGGTGTTTGATCTGTTTTCCTACCGAGTTTGTTCACTACTTCATTTCCCTCTACTCCGTGTTATCCTGGAACCCATAGAAGGATGACTGCATTTCTGTTGGCTAGCTCGTTCAGTTTCTCCCGGTATTCCTAAACCATTTTAGAGCTGATAACCATAGAGCGCTTTGATGGCTGCTTGAATATCGGACATGATAATGATATCTCGTCTTTCATAGCTTTTGTCTAGTGTGGGGATCTTTCCCTATCATGTATATGTTGTATTTGTAAATATCTGTATATTCAATTGATTAGATTATGCTCTGTACATTTTCATCCTGTATTTAACATCAACCGATGTGTCTGGGTTTTTCCCTATAATGTTTTCTATACCTCGTTACGAAATGTGAACTATATATTTCCAACATGGATCTTTGATGACCATCTGGCTAGGAGGGTGGCTAATTATTGTTTTATACGATAAAGGTTACCCTTCTAGGTCATTGGAAAAAGTTGTTATAAGCAGTTGTTCTTGATCCTCCTGAGTCAAGGGACAGTCTCAATCTGAATCGTTTCGTCCCGATAACCCGCTTATACCCAAAAAAGATTATTCAAAAACTCACACTGTTTTTCTTCAACAGATACCCCAATCTAGATTGAACCGTACACATTTCCCTATAGCGTGAACTTCCGTCTGGAATATGCTTGGGAATTTGCCAAGGTTTTCGAAGTACTTGGTACGAGGTCTGTACGCTCCTATTCCAGTTCCATCATCGGTATCTTGGTATCTTAAATGGATGCAGACACAAGTCTTCTTTACAATAGTTCGGCATGTCCGAGTTCAATTTTCTAAACATACATTCTTATCCAAAACCAAGCTAACAACTAACTAACTAAGGTTTACTAGAATCCTGTTTTATGAGTCATAGAGTCCGGTTAGCAAATCACACCAACACAATTATTATTAGTAAACGAATCAAATTCCATCGAAAACCTCTATAATTGGGATTAAAGTTGGCGATCTGGCTCTATTTTATAGATATTTTCATGGACGATTCCTGAAATATCAACAATTGTTCCTCCTTTGGCAGTCCCCGCGAGATCAACCCGTAGAGTTGAGGCTTCGCACTCCTTCGTGGTCACTTTGGAGACCTGCAGAACATCTCCATCACCAAGGGAGGTGTTCCCCGAGGCATATAACCTCCAGAAATTTAAGAACACCAATTCCAACCGTACTTCCCTTGGCACTCACGATGTTCTCTCAACATTACAGGATATCCCTTTTGTGGGAACCAGAACATAAAAAAAACAGTTTCGAAATCCATTGGAGAATAAATAGTTTCAAAACAAATAATTCAACAGGAACGAAGTTAAATGATTCAGTATTAGGACGTAAAGGTTTGTATAAATCAAATTTGTTTTCCAAAATACAGATATCTGGCAGATTAATTTTCATTTCCAATCCCACATTGTAGCGGTGGAGTCAATTGTTTCTAGATATCTTTCTAGGTATCAATGATGATGCATCATATTATGGCACTAGAACATTACGCGATTATGATAACCTTGAGAACTATTCTATTCATCTATTCTAAAAATAAATAAGGATCAAGATAAGATTCCTTGATTAAAGCATCGTCCACCAATTAAAGGTTGAGTATTCTTAATCTTTGGTTTGGGAAAATGGATTTTCCATGATCACTCCTCTTTTAATGACGAACCGACAGAAACTGTCAATGAAGGTTTATCGATGCGGCAGCCAACAGCGATATATCTTATCGATTTGTATTGTACTCGTAAGGTACTCGTAAAATATGTTTCGATTATCATTCAAGTAATAACTAGTTTATTTTGTTTGTGTCAACGATGAGAAGTGATGTATGTTTATCGCCGATCGTATTCTGGTTCAGGTAAAATATCAAAACAAGCAATCGCGAACGACGTCTCAATTTTATCATTAATTTCATAGTTTTCAGTAGATACACCTATACAGTCTTTTTACTTTTGATGATAATTTATCGGAAATAGTAAGTGTGACCTAACAGAGGAGCAACAGGTGTAAAAAAGCAACAGGTGTCACAAAAAAGCAACAGGTGTCATAAAATTGTACATAAACACTTGTTACCCTGCACAAAGTTGTTGGATGAATTTATCGAATTGTTGAAACCAAGGCCAGACAAGATCATTCGATTTCCTATTATTTTCAGGTGCCCATTTGCGACAACGATCTTTGGACCCAGAAAGGAGACGACAATCAATAGGTCCTATACCGAATATACACAGGGCGTCAGATGCTTTCGTGGACCCCCAACATGCGGCCATACTCTTCAGGGATTCTAGGGGGGTGAGTTGAATTTTTTGGAAAATTTTATGAAATCCACATGTGTACTAGCATAATTATAGTTGAAAAATTGTCGTAAATTTCCGTTTTCTTTAAATGAGCATGTTTTCAGTCTTGATGGTATGTTATTTTTATCGCTTTTTGATGGGTCACATTAAAAAAAGTAGTTACTACAACTTCAGTTGGAAAAAACATGGTTTCACATTTATTGTCTTTATTAAATTTGTTATTAATTCGATGTACGTTTTTATATTGTTGATTGTTTTTAACTTTCCACTTCAATCGATCACGATCAACGATGGATACAAATTGAAAAAAATGGTTTGGGAAGACCAACTTTGTTCAAAATCAGTACCTATTATGAAACATATTGAACACTTCAATTTAGCGTATAAATCTTGTTTTTTTTTTCTAAAACAATACGGAAAAATGTGATTAAGGGCAAAAGCATAAATTACCAGAAAAAAAAACGGAAAACGAAAATAATGTTAGACAATGAAACAATGAATAATATTGAACATCTACCTGAATCTCGGATAAGGTTTGTGTGTTGTATTGAATTTGATATCAGATTGACTAAATTTATTATTGTTTGTTGCAGCTTCCTGTGGTGGATCCTTTCTTAGAAAATGTCAATTTATCAGATTTGGGTGAGTGCTTATCATTTTTACCAAAGTTCTTATTAACTAGGCCAAATCAAAATACCTGATTGTTATCAAACGCTCAGATTTATCATGTTATCAAACCAATCTTGACGCATCTCGGCAATCTGGTTTCACATTCTCAATAATTTATCTTTGTTCATGTCCTTGCAAATTATTCACCAACGTTCTTACAAGGTGACCTCAGAGCAAAACTACTCGGGTTGGCAAACTCATTATCAGTTGGTCATCAAAAAAATTAACTGAGAAAAGCTATAGTGTCTTATGTCGCATGTACAGGGTTATCCATCGAGAAGGCCCTATATTTATGTTATTTTTTATCGAGAAAAAACAGACGATATGCGGAAGTTGAATATGCCACAATGAAGTCTTTACATAGTACTTATCAGAAGTTTTACAGGGTGAATCCTGAAAGCGTGATAAACCACGAATTGACTTTTTCAAATGGAACACCCTGTTTTTTATGTTTTTTTTTTGGAATCTCCTATTTTCACTGTTTTTCCACTTCATCATCATGTCACTGAGAAGTGTCAAATTTAAGAACAAAATTTTCGAAGAGAACATTTTGCATTCATAATGTTGAGAACGAGAGCAGATTGGTACACAAAACGTCCAGAGATAAGTAAAAATTCGATATTTTTTCAATATCTCATCAAAAATTTTTCCAAACAAAGTGTCACTGAAAAGCTATTGGATTTTTCTTTTAGGATACCTGATAAAACAATTTGTTAAACACAGTGACATTATGGGGCAAATCATCTGACTTGTCCTAATATACATGTATTGGAATAATACTCATATTTTTATTTTGTAGAAACGAGGACAGAAAATCTCAAATAATCAAGAAAAATGTATGAATGTAACACCTACAGAAAGTATTTAATCAATTTGTGGTTTGTCACGCTTTTAGGGATCACCCTGTAAAACTACTAAGGGCTGGGGAAAAGTCTCATTGCATTCAACTTCCGCCTACCATTTGTTTTTTCTCGATAAAAAATACCATAAATATAGGGGAGCTCATTTTTTGTATATCAGAGTACGGACACTAGACAAGTAGTGACAATCAAACATAACCACAAACTATTTTGAAGCAAATCATATGCTTTGCCAGACAAGGACAAGAATATGTTTTTCGCTTATATAAAGGATCCTCTCGCATCTTCCTTCCTCCACAAGTGCTGGGAAGAGTACATCCATATATCTCTCTCTGTCTTTGATTTTTGTATGAGAGTGCATAGCGTCTCTTCGAGTAGGTGAAAGGGTATGATAAAGTGATATGATTTCTTCTCGAAATATTAAGTGATAAGGCTGAATATAAGGACCTCAATGGAGGTCGATATCAAGTTGGTATGTACATACATATATACCAACGAAATACATATACTATTCCTATGAAATAAGTCTCTGATATGTGAGGATGAATAATAAAGGTTCTTCAAGACATACGGAAGTATAGATATAAATGAACAGCGCTCGACTGACTATAGATTGCCGTTCACATTGCTAAAGGGGACTGTTGGTTTGAACCCGGGCATCGGAAGATCATTCTCAAGTCTTTTTCTTTCAAAAGATCTTCGAAAAGAATGTCATTATCTGCAAGTTTTTCGTTACTTGTTGGTTCTAAATTGGAATAAGGTTCTTTTCGGTACTCGCTCAGTTTATAAACTGTGGGTTCGGCTCTTTCTCTCAATACGATCCTATTCTTCAACATCATATATTCCTTTCTGAAGTGTACCTGATAAAAATGCATGTTGAAAAATGTTCTATATCCTACCAAGAAATCTGAATACCTAGCAAATTTTGTGGCCTAAACCTATATTCCATGGCGGCCACATCATATTCTGTTTCCATATTTATAGAATTACGTTATCCGAGTGAATTGATTTCCCGTGTTCTCACAGTTGGAAACTGCACAAACTTGCATCTTTCTCATAATGGGGAAGACCACTGATTTTTTGAAACGACATTATCGTGAACTCTATACTGAAAAACTACCAGTGAATTAATTTTGAATTATTTCATTCATGCTAAGACGATGAAAAAAATAAATTAGTATATGTCCATTTCAAAACACACAATTCCTGCGCCATTTGAAATTTCATCAATTCATTGGTGTGACTGGTGCGACGCCTTAGTCCCAACACGCCTATTGTCCTTGAACTGACCAATTACACTGCAATACTGCAGAATGACGAGGTATCAGAGAGAGATAGATACAGTTCGGGACTAATACGTCACGACTTCACCATCATATTTGGCTGTTTGAAATATCAAATGAAATATGCTGATTTCAAAACGATATAGATTCGATTCCCTTCAACTCATAATATTGATTGTACATAAAATGTAAATCATGATTCGTCGATTGAAAGAGGTTTGCACGGATTTCTTCTCTCTGTGGTCTTCCCCATTCTCTCAATTTGTCAAACCTTTGAAATTCAGTGCTTGTCATAGTGTCCGTACTCTAATATAGAAAAAACGTCAAAACAGCAGTGTCTCAAGTACCTAAACCCATATGATGCAGGTGCCGCTACAGGAGTCCTGTTAAAAGGCTTATCGTTGACCTGTAGTAAATAGTGGTTTGTTCACATTTTCATTATCAAATTCGTGTTTTTCAGACAAAAATACCTAAGTACCAAAAAAATATTTCGAAAAAAAAACCATCGCATGCTGAATGAAGTTTTACCGATGAGTGTATTTTGTTCTACCTAAATCTCTCGAGCACGACAACTGTGAATCTCCATTTCGTCGTTTCGGTCGAGTTACGTCGACCGACGAAAATACCTCGCCGCTTATAATCGTCCCAGTATTTTGCCGGCATCTTTTCGTAGTAAACCGTTTCGTTCCAAGCTGCGGACTTGGTTTATTGTCGAACGACGATTATCGTAGTTGAAGGTGTTCGACCTTGTCGACGGATGTAGTTTTTCGTGAGATACGGACTCGTAGTATCTTTGGTAGTACGTCGGAATCGTGTTTAGATTTTGTTGCAAAATTTCCGTACGTTAAACAGTGTGTCATCCGAGCCGAAAGATTAAATTAATTATTTGTGTATATGATCGGCTGATAGAAAAATGCCGTGTTGCGAGTTTCAACGTCGTACGTACAGGATTTTCCGTCCCCCATAAATTCAGAAATGCATTTCATGTTGTTGTTTGAACTTTGTTCTGTACAAATCGAAACCATGCGAGATATATAAAAAAAGAAACCAAACTAGTCACTAGTCTCATTTGACAATTCACACCTGATAAGACCCAAATCCATGTTAATCATCGCATATACACATTTTGACAACAAAGAGACACCATATTATAGAAAGGTAACAATTATTCAACTACTATTGAAGCATTTATGTCAACAATCGAGACTGTTTCAGGAGAAGAAAATAATTTCTTCATTCAAACTCAATGACCCAATGTAGTTACCGTTTCTTCCGAATAACTCTGTAATTCTTCCTGATATCAATTATTGTGGATTGTAATTCAAAATATTTCGAATCATTTTCAGTGTAATCGCGAGATGATCAATTCTGGAACGTACTCCCATTCTCTATCTTTGATTCTAGACTATAGAATTATTATTCAGGCTAAGCAAGTAAGGTGCAGAAGAGAGTCTACAAAATTATACAGGGTGTACCTAAATAACACCGAACAAATTCGAGGGCTGATTCCTTGTGATATTTTAGGAAATAAAGTTCATATGAACATGTGTCCTAACTTGCTTCGTTTGCAGATACAAGGTATTAATATTTCCATGAAAAATCGTTTTTTTATTCATCACTCAATTGTCTTTTCATCAATTTCAATCAAACCTTATAATGGTTTTGTTAATAGTAATATGGAGGTTCTTCTGATGCAATTAGATTCGAAATAATATTTCCAGTGGCGTCACAGTGGGTAAATTTATCAATATTTATGGTGATTGTCATTCTACGCCACTGATATTTCTGAGTTCCGTATTTGTATTAGATTGAACTAGTGAAATAACAACTTTTTTATCCCCAGAGTGATTTTTGTATCTAGGTGAGTTTTTGAGGACACAATAAAGATTCGGTTCAACGCCAAATTAATATACGAGGGGTAAATCACGGGTCAATTTCGGGTACACTAGACTTCCTTTGTCGAAAGAATTCCTGGAAATCCTGGGACTACCCAAGGCATTCCTGGTACTACCCAAAGAATTCCCGGAGTTCCTAAAGAATACCCGGAAATTTCAAAGACTACCTGGATTACCCAAACAATTACCGAACTTTCCAAGGAATTCCCGGACTTCCCAAAGAATACCCGGACTACCCAATGAATTCCCGGACTTCCCAAGGAATTCTCAAAGACTACCCGGACTCCTCAAGGAATTCCCGTCTCCGGTACACTGGACTTCCCACGTGATTTACCCCTTGTTAATATAGGTGTTTTCAAGACTTCCATGGAGATTACTCAATAACCCCAATTGAAGACCTCGGTGCAAGAACCGGGTAACTCCATTTTATGCCGAGGAATCAAGCAAATCCAACAATTTCCTATTATATAAGTTAACACGGGAAAAGGATTTACCTGATGAGCCATGACGGTGCTAGAGTCGGGCGACTCCAGGACTTACCCGATTTTAGCACCGAAATGTAAGCCATGACGGTGCTAGAGTCGGGCAACTCCAGGACTTACCCGATTTTAGCACCGAAATGTACGCCATGACGGTGCTAGAGTCGGGCAACTCCAGGACTTACCCGATTTTAGCACCGAAATGTAAGCCATGACGGTGCTAGAGTCGGGCAACTCCAGGACTTACCCGATTTTAGCACAGAAATGTACGCCATGACGGTGCTAGAGTCGGGCAACCCCAGGACCCACCCGATTTTAACACCGAAATGTAAGCCATTACGGTGCTAGAGTCGGGCAACTCCAGGACTTACCCGATTTTAGCACCGAAATGTAAGCCATGACGGTGCTAGAGTCGGGCAACTCCAGGACTTACCCGATTTTAGCACAGAAATGTAC